TTAGACCACTGAGCCATCTCACCAGCCCCAAAATTTTTATTTTTATTTCTTCTGTATTTGACAACTTTAGCTGTCCTAAGTGTCTTGTAGTTGGCCATACCTACATAAACTCCCTACAGCTATTCTATAAAGCTTTTTGCTTTGGCTGGTCCAAGCCTGAGTTTGAAGACTGTCCCCAAAGATTCCACACTTAACTTACCCTAAACACAGAATGTTTGGAGGCTGACTCCTGCTACAGAAAAAGAATTTTTAGGAAGCCTCAGTAGGAGGCAGAGGAACAATGTCAAATAGACCTTAGTGTGGAGAGTCAGGGAGACTGAGGAAGAGAGAGAAGAGCTGGAAGCAAAAGAGCTGCTGGGGTATGGGGGCATCTTCAAGACAGGTGATCTAGGATATTTTCCCAGTGCCAGAACGCAAATCATTTATGTGTTTAAAGTTGTGATCTGCTGCCCAGTAATATTGCTGCTTCCTTGAGAAGAGGAAGCACAATTTATGGTCGTGTCAACGACCATAAACTAAAGAAAAAAAAATCCTTATTCAACGACCATAAACTAAACCTAAAGCCCAGTTTATAGGTTTACTGTGTTTTTAAGACCTTTAGGAATTTTTTGAGGGACTTCCTTGGCAGGGAAAAGACCTTGAGTAACTTTTGCATACTGAAGTTGCAGTTCCTTCTAAAAGTTTTTGTACCAATTTTTTTGTATTAAATTCATTGGTACAATTTATGTTTTGATCACATTAATCATAGGGAATTTGTACCTGTACATGATATATCTTGGTTCTTTTTTTTTTTTTTGCCTGTTTTCTTCTTTATTTACAAAGCTTTGTTTCTATTTTATCCTTCCTCATCCCTCCCATTTCCCTTTTTAACAATTTGGATTTCACAATTTCTATTATACATTTTGGTTCTTTGCACGTTTTAGTTTCCCATACCAGAAACAATGTGGTATTTACAGAGGGCTATCTAATTTATTTCACTTAAAAGTATTGTCTCACGGTCCAACCATTTAGCTACAAATGTCATTTACCCTTCTTTATGGCTGAATAGTACTCCATTGTAAAAAACCCACCTAGAAGTACAATTTTATTTTATTTTATTTATTTTTCAACAAATAATACACTGCATATATTCTTAGTGGTTAATTGCTGTACAAGATGCGGACTTGTGATCCTATTTACAAACACCATTAGAACAAATCATTCTATTCATTAACAGAACGTAACTATATATCTATCCCAACCACTTTGAATACACAGATACAAAATGGACATTCATCTGTATACCCCATTTTTTCTAAGTTCCGTTATTGAATATTATAGGTGTGTAAACTCAGCAAAATATTCTAAAAGAGTCCAGTAGCCCATAATAGCCTTGGGTCTTCTGTTTAACTGGCAATGTCAGAAATTATTGACCTGAGTCCCCCACAGCTCAACTTAACAGCATGGCTTTATTTCTTATAATTTCGTCTTCATACTTTTCTGCTGGATGGTTAAGACCAAGGTAAAGCAGGACCTATGCAACAAGAGTTGTAGCTTTTTGGTCTGAGAAGGTCAGTGAAATGCCCTCAGGATTTGTCCTGAGATCCTGTACCTCAGATTGTAGAACCTTTATCAGTGCAGCCATGTGGATGAGTCACGACCATTGCTTGGCCAATGTGCTCTCTGTGAAAGCCTGAGAGAATTATCTAAAATGGCAGAAGCTTTTTTTTTTTTTTTTCTGGAATGCCTTCAAGGCATGACTGGCTGTCTTGTGTTGTGGGGATTGAACCACAGCAACCTGAGCCTGACTGCTTTGTTGAAGCAGCCACTTAAAGAACTGAGCTACGGGGCAGGCCCCCCTAGAAGTACAATTTTAAAATCCTAATTTCAGTATCTTTTTTCTGCTTTTTATTTCTTCAATCTTACCTCAGAATGATCATAATGTTACACTACAAAGTTTGCTTCTGCCAGCCATATGACCACCAATATCTGGAGGTGAGAACTGATGTGAAGAAAAACAGGTTTTATTATGAACTAGCTTGAGCAACAGCGCCCTAAAGGCGACCTCAATTGTGGACTAGTCAATACCGAGGCCAAGTGCTGCTGAGTGGTTTCCTAGCCACAGGATGGCAGTCTTTGTCATTCACCCAGTGTTTTTCCTTGGATTCCAACTCAAAAGACCTTGTGTCCTCCCCCCACCTCCTGGAAGTCTTTGAATTTTCACACACATTGAACATTTTTGTTCCTTTAATTGGAAAAACAGTAAACATTTTTTCCTTTAACTGGAGACCTTTAGCAAGTCCTTAGCACACACTTCAATGTTACTTAAAGACCACCGGCTATTCCAAGTCCTGAAAAACCAAGAAAGATTACTGATTAGAGAACCACTGGGTTTTTTTTGGTTTTTTTTTTGTTTGTTTTTGTTTTTTTGTTTTGTTTTGTTTTGTCCCCCCCCCCCCCCTGTCCCCTTTTTCCTGGAGTACTTCATTATAGCAGTCAAGACCATAGCCATCTTAAGTTCGGTACTTGAAGAAATCTTTTAGGAGTTATAAGGCTGGGGAAAATTTCAAATAAGATGGTGTAAAGCATTACTATTGTTAGAAATAATGTGCACGTAAAAGGATGTGCACGTAAAAATGTCCTAGGTAAAGTAGTTGCAGGGATGAGGTTTATAGAGCTTTTACATACAAAGTTTGCTTTATTATTTTGAAACAGGGTCTCGCTGAGCTGCCCAGCCACCGCTGGCTCTTCCTTTCCTATTAATCACTACATTGCTAACTTGTCTTCTTCCTGGTTCTAGAGAATAACCATGCCGGTCGCAGATGTTCTTCTACGTGACCTCACTTCGTGGTATGTGAGATAGACGTATACTCCACGCTAGGGAAGAATTCAGCATCTCTGTGGCTCTTGCAGGGGTGACCAAAGCAGCAGCTCTTCACACCGGGGAGGTGTCCCCTATCCGGGACCCTCCAGGGCAGAGAAGAGCCGCATTTGAACCCGTGCACGCCGGGAACCCCGCGCCCGCGCGAAGCTCCCTCACTGCCACCGCGACCCCCGCCCCCGCGCGCATGCGCATGCGCCTCCCCGCGCGTCCGCTGCGGCCCTGGGTCCCTCGTGGGAAAGCACGCCCAGTCTGCGGGTCTGCGCTGTGAGGGAACGCCGGGTGAGCCGAGCAGTGTAGAGCCTGGGCCTTTGGGCATGGGATGGGAATGGGGATGGCTGGGGTATTGCAGAAAGGCGGGGACGCAGGAGGAGGTGGGAGTCTGCAGAGGCTGGAACGGCCGCGAGCCGACCTCTACCGGGGAAGCCCGGGTCGGCGCGTGGACGCCAGCTCCCGGATCAGGCGTCCGCGCGCGCCCAGTCGTGCGGAGCCAAGGCGCGGTCGCACGGTCGCGTGGGGAGTGCGCGTGCGCGGGACCGGAGGCGCGGTGGTCTGGTGGGGAGGCTGCGCGCCTGCGTGACGTGCGCGTGACGCTACGCGCGCGCCTCTTGCGACCTCAAGGAGTGGGGCTGTGGGCGCGTGGCTGGGCGTGAATGGGATGCCCGGAGCTCGCGGCCCTTCACCGTCCCGGCGCTTGCGTACCATGCGGCCGTCAGGCGCGCTTGCCGCCCCAGGTTGTCCCAAGTGCGCTCGTTCCGTAGGCGGCGGCGGCGGCGTCTCCTGCTCCGGGCGGGTTCCGGGCAGGCCGCCGGCGCTCGAACTGCTTCCCGGGGCTGCAGTCGCGGTGTCCGTGGGAAGCTCACGCCGGTCCCGCGCTCGCGGCTCACAGTGTGTCTCGGTGACACCGCCGCGAAGCCCGGGAGCAGCGAGGTGAGCCGAGCCCGCTGCTCGCCCCGGGTGAGGGCGCAGGCCCGTCCGCCCTCCGCCTGCCGCACCTTATCTAGATTAAGACATTGAGCGGGAGGAGGTGCCTGGTTCGCCTCGCGCGGAGTGGGAGACTTGATCAAAGTTAATCTAAATAAAAGAGCCTTTTCAGAAACTTCAAGCCAGTTCAGACAGACATTTAAAAAACTTTATCTTGTCTTAAACACCCCTCCCTTTTTACAGAGGTTTCTCGGAGTAGCCGACCTCAAGGGGTAATGGAGTTAGCTCAAAAATAGACATGGCCTGAGTTTTTGTTTTTCTTACAACAGCAGTTTTGACAAATCCACAGTATTTGATCATATGGAATACTGTTATTTGTTAAACTCATCTGTTTATGTTTTTAATTTTTTCTGTGTCACAGAACCTAAATTGCTAATAATAAGAAACAAAATGTTAACATTCACTCTGAAAAGTGTCATGTCTAAACTCAACATATATCGGAGCCGTCATGGACATGTAAGTATCTTTGTGTGGGACTGTAGGCAGGTGAGTCCACAAGCTCCAAGGCAGGCCATGTCTGTCCTGACATCCATCCATCCTTTTCTCTCAGCTCTCCCTCCTCCAGTAAGAGCGGAAAATGAGAAAATCACAGGTAAGTTGTTTACTTACACTTTGTAAGGATTTTTTTTTTTTAAGTGGGAAGAAAAAGGCAACGTTTATGTCAGCTAGTCTAGGTGCTCAGTACCAGCGGGAAAAAGAAAATTTATATATGCAGAATGGAGTAGTATTCAGCCATGAATGGCAGTTTTGTCATTTTGAGGAAAATACATAGATTTGGAGAGCACCAAAGATAAATAGCAAATGTTCTCCCTAATACTGGACTCTGAAACAGGAGTGGGGCATGCCTGCAATCCCAGCACTTGGGATGCTGAGACAAGAGGAAGCCAACCTGGGTTATATCGTGAGACTCTACCTCAAAAAACAAAAAAGATGAAAGTAGAAGGGCAACTATTAATAGACAAGAGAGAGGGAATCAAGGGGAGGGGAGTGTAAGAACAGGTAAAATGGGAGATGGATGTGATCAAAATATATGCATTGAGCCCCCCGAAAATGTGAAACTAGTGGGAACTGTGGGCCAGAGGGGTGACAGGGTGGGGGGATGAAAATGATCAGAGTTTGTTATGTGTGTGTACAAATTGGCCAAAATGAAACCCATTAATCTAGATTGCCAGTATGCACTAATAAAAGGAGATGTGAAACCAATGCAAAACAAGAAAAAAAAAGAGTTTATATTAAGCGAAATATAACTAGAGCAACAAATTTGAAGTAGAAAGTATTTGGCAAGTTAATTGTAGGATTTTTAATTTTACAGGGTTATCCAGGTTATTGTAAAAATTTTTCTGGTCTTTTAAAATTTATTATTTATTTATTTATTTATTTATTTTGGTGGAACTGGGGATTGAACTCAGGCCCTTGTGCTTGTCAGGGAAGTGCTTATTCCACTGAGCCATCTCCCCCGCCCCTGGTCATCTTAATAACAGCCCTGAAATAAATGCAGTATATCTTCAGTCACTTCTGAGTAGAAACAGTGTCCGAGGAGATGAAGCTTTGAGGTTTGAGTAGCCCATTCTGTGATAGTCCCGCTTGATCCAGGAATGAAATCTGGAAGATGTGGAGGATTGGAGGTAATATAAGTCTTCAAAACACACCTAAATGTACCTGTTTGTTTGTGTTTCTAGGTAGAATTGCAGGCAGTTCTGTCTTGTTTCTACATTTCAACCTGATTAACAAAGCCTTATCGCATTACCTCCACTCACCTGAATCAGTTCTACAAAGGGTCACCAAATCATGATCAAGACCAGTGGATTTTTTCCCCATTATTGCATCATTTAGCAGCATTCAATAGTACTGACCATGGTATTTTTTTTGAAAATCTCTCTGTAACCTGGAGCTCAGACCTGTTCCTCACTCTGATTTCCTGTCCAGCCCTCATGAAGAAGACTTTCACCACACATTGTTTATAAGGGTTGCCATTCTTGGTCCACTGTACTTCTGTTTTACTGGCTGGTTTCATGTTTTTTAAATAAATTTATGATTATTATTATTTTGTATATAGTACAGAATGTACAGTTTCTAATAAGCTTCCAGGTGAAGTCAAATGTACAAAGGACCAGGAATCCCATATATATATATATTTTTCCAATTCAATAGCATGTCCCAGAGATTTCTGTGACACAAAATGATTTTTCTTTGTTAAAACTGTGTAATTGAATGTAGGTGCCTGAGTTAAATTATATCCCATCTTTTACTGTTGCAAACCCTGTTAGAATGAACAGCCATGTACACACTCATACACACCAGGTTATTCATATTCTGTACATTCATGAATGTACTAGATAGATTTATCAGATGAATTCCAAGAAGTGGATGGATGTTAGTGGCTTTAGTGTCAGAGACATTATTATTTTGTATTTTTATTTAGTACAGGTTCTACAGGGTGTCACTATACAGATCGGACTCAGTGATCCTTCTGTTTTCAGCCTCCCAAGCACTGGGGTTACACCCACCATGCTCCATCTCAGTAGCTTTCTCAGTGCATGTTGGGGGTGGGGCTGGCGTAGCATGCTGGGGATTGAACCCTGGTCCCTGTGTCTGCCTAAGCAGGCACTTTAATTTGCTGAGCTATCTGGCTGGCCCCCTATTTTGTGTTCTTCTTGGCATTGCATGAGAGTTTCTCCACAGCTTCTCCCTCAGATACCTGGTTCAACTTTTGGGTTTTGGGAAACAGCTAGGTAAAAAGTGGTATTTTATATGGTTTGCATCTAGTTTTTTTCACTCTGAATGAAATTGGTTAACTTAATGTGTCTAGAGTTGTCTTGTGTTTTTCTGTGATCTCTTTTAGTGTTTCACCCATTTTTTCTTAGGTTTCTGCCCCCCCCAACTCTGCTTATCTCTTATACATTAGGGGTAATACTTGTTTATTGTATGAGCTGCAAACCATTACTTTTTTTTTTTTTTTTAATTTGGTACAGGGTCTCACTATGCAGTTTGGACTCCTAGTGAGCCTCTTGTTTCTGCCTCCCCAGCCCTGAGATTTCAGGTGGGCACCATTATAGCACCAGTCTTGGCTGGCTCGGTGTGCCTGTGGTGGGGCGGGTGTGACATGTGGTGCCAGGAATCAAACCCAGGTCCTTGTGCTTGCCTAGGCAGGTGCTTAGGTGGCTGAGTTATCTCCACAGCCCCAAACCATTTCTTTCTTGTATACCAGTCTTTTATAAGTTTAACTTTATAGCATTTGGAAGCACAAGTAGTCCTTACTTCATAATCATAAATTACCTGTTTATATATATCTTGGTATCTCTATGTATTTTATGTTTAATTCATATAGTGTTTACCTTAATATGCAGGAACTTCACAGTTAAATTGTTAAATCATTCTACACAGTATTCTGTGTAGAATGTTATGTTACCATTATTACAACGTTACCAATGTTACTTTCTGTGCTATTACCATTTTTGCTTTTTCTGTATTTTAAACCTTAGGAAACATCTTGAATAATGTGACCTCAGTGGGTTTTGTAATTGCTTATGTGTTGCCCTTGTATTTGTATTTCTCTTGCCTTTCTTTATTTTTTTATTTTATTTTATTTTTTTGCGGAACCAGGGCTTGAACTCAGACCCTTGCACTTGCCAGGGAAGCACTTATTCTACTGAGCCATCTCCCCAGCCCCTGTCTTGCCTTTCGACTGTTTTATGCTTCCTCTTTGACCATTTCTTTGTTGAAAAAAACTTCTATCTTACTATTTCTTCTTGTGCCAGTCTTACAGTAAGAAATTTTCTCAGTACTTTTTTGTATGAAGATGTCTGTCTTTATTTTTGAAAGAATATTTTCTCTAAATACAGAATTCTAGATTGGAATTTTTTCTCCTTTTCTGCTTTAAAGATATCATCCCAATGTCTTCTCAGTCTTTTTTGCTTTTATTTTGAGACTCAGTTTTAAACCTCCTCCTTGAAGACAATTGATAATTTTTTCCTTTGACTGCTACCAAAACCCCCACAGAGGGTTTAGGTCTCCCAATTAGCAATACACGTATACAAAAAAGAGACAGTATTTTGCAGTTAAGGAGCTCTGGGATGACCCAATGCTTTCTATGAAACAAAGGGCTGTGAGTCCAAAAGCTCATGGCTTTTGTTGGTATCAGTCAGGGAGGCAACTGGGTGTCACGGGCAGAGCGCTATGGAAAATAAACTTTGTAGGCATTGGCTATAAGGAGAAACAGCTTTTTTTTTTTTTTTTTGTATTTTAGGGAAAGGTCTACAGGGTGTTCAGGGTCTCATTACTAGATAGGACTCGTAGTGATCCACCTGTTTACAGCCTCCCAAGAGCTGAGATTACAGGCGTGCGCTACCATGCCCAGTCACAATTGCTGTCTCAGCGCATCCGGGGGCGGGACCGGCAGGGCAGGCCTGGGGATGAAACCCTGGGCCCCTGCGCCTGCTTGCAGGTGCTTTAATCAGCTGAGCTATTTGGCCTGCCCTGAAACAGCAATTTTGTACCAGGTACAAAGGCCTCCAGTTAGCAATACAATGAATGGATAGCTTAATATATGCACAGCTGGCACCTTTCCTGCCAGGAAGGCAAGGTTCTGAGTCCCATGGTCTCAGCTGAGATGTTATCTTGTATCTTAGCCCTGAAATCTCACAAACTTTTGCTCAGGCTTCCCTTCTAGCCACCAGCAGGGTAAGCAGTTATTGCCCGGGTTGAGACACACTGGTATCTCTGCCAGACTTAATCACATTCTTTTATTTAGCCAATTAAGGGAACATCTGCTTCTATATAGCCAGGTGTGCATATCTCAGTGAACAGGGTTGAAGTAAAGGTCAGGGAAAGATGGAGCTTTCATTTCTTAGGAGAACACAACTTGGCAGTTTCTCACAGGCTACCTATGAGATTTTTTTCTTTTTTGGTTTCTAGGAGTTAATGTAACTTCTTTTGGTCTTCTAGGTACATATTTATCCTATATTCATGGAGAGTTTTGATCTTGAGATGTGATGTCTTTTATAAGTTTGGGGAAATTCTCAGCCATTTTATTTTCTTAAGATATTCTGTATTTCCTTCTGGAATTAATTAATTCTGGTGTCTTCTACTCTAACCCTTTACCAAATGGTGTTTTTAGCCTTCTCTCTCTTGCTCTCTCTTTTTTTTAGGACAAGGTCTATAGGGTTTCACTACACAGATCGGACTCGTAGTGACTCTCCTGTTTTCAGCCTCCCAAGTGCTGGATTATAGACATGCACCACCATGTCCAGTCTCAATCACAGTCTCAGTGCACCCCCTGGGTGGGGCTGACACAGCATGCTTTGCCTAAGGAGGCACTTTAGTCCACTGAGCTATTTGGCCGGCTCTTAGCCTTCTTTCTTTACTTGCCTGTAACTTCCCACTCTGACAGAAATTTGGCTACTGTTGTCTTTGTTTACTTAATTACTCACTTCTAGTATATGTGTGCAAGGGATGTCAGAGTTGTTAGCCTGTGGGCTCTTGGTTCCTTTTAGTGTTTGTTGATTGTGTGTATTTAATTTTCCTTTTTTGTGACTTAGAGGATTGGATCCAAGGTTTTATGTGTGCTGAACAAGTGCTGTACTTCTGAGCTACGTCCCCAGCTCCTATTTCTTAGTTAGAAATTAAGGTGTTGGAAACTTTCATATGCAAGTTTTGATACAGATACAAGTTTTAAAATGAGTAAGTACCTAGAGTGTAAAATTGTTGTATGGTAAGATCTTCAATTTCATTTAGCTTTGTACATTTCTGGTCAACTGTTCCAAAGATACTGAATCATTTTATGTTCTTTTACTTTTAACATTTTTCCCCTAATACTGAGGATTGAATTCAGAGCCTTCACAATGAGCTGTATCCTCAGCCCTTTATTTTTATTTGGAAATAAGGTCTTGCTAAGTTACCCAGGTTGTGCTCAAACTTGTGATGCTCTTGCCTCCGCTTCCATGTCTGGTGGGATTCTAGGCATGTATTATTACAAGTTCTTTCATTTCTTTCAATTTTTGCCTTATGTATTTTGACAGTCCTGTTTGTTAGATGAATGTGGCTTCCATTTACATTTTCTTTCTCTGTGATTTTTGAATCCATCTAAGCTCTAAGTTTTAGATACTGCATTTAACAACAGTTACTATGTCCTGTGTGTGTGTGTGTGTGTGTGTGTGTTTACCTACTTAAGAGGTTCCTGAGATCACCTTAGGCTCAGTGACTCCCTGGAGTAATTCAGCAGATGGTTATATTTAGAGTGAAAGGATATAAAGCAAACTCAACAAGATACTAAGCACTAAGACCTCCCTGTGAGGTCTTGGGGTGTGTATCAGGGAAGCTTGATTACTTGTTGCCCAAAGTTTTTATGGGGGACTAGTTTCTTAGGTAGTCTTTCTAGTATATACCCAAATACTAGATTCTCGGAATGCACGTCCTCAGTGTGACCATACTTTTTATGCAGACTGCTCAGGTGCCGTGACTGTTCTTATCAGGAGGTGACGTGGTGAGTGTCCTTCTGAAATCCACACCGCCAGCTGATAGCCAGGGACACTGCAGCAGACCTTTCAGAGTCCAGCAATCTCTGACCTGCTCCCTACATAGCACAAATGCCATATAACTGGTGAATCTTTCCATCATTATTTTGTTCATATTTTCCTCTATTTTATTGAATGGTCATAATTCACTTTCAATTTCTTGTAAATGTCAGTACTTGGGTCACTCATGGCTCTACTTTTATTGTCCTTTTTCTTAGTTCCTGTTTCATAAACCATGAAAATTTATTTCTTTTTTTGTATTTTAGGGAAGCGTTTATAGGATGTTTAGGGTCTCACTACTAGATCGGACTCATAGCGATCCTCCTGTTTACAGCCTCCCAAGAGCTGGGATTATTGGTGTGCGCCACCATGCCTAGTCTCAGTTGCCATCTCAGCATGCCCCTGGGGGTGGGACTGGCATAGCCAGCCTGGGGATTGAACCCCTGGCCCCTGTACCTGCTTGCAGGTGCTTTAATCCACTGAGCTATTTGGCCGGCCCTGAAATTTTTACTGGATGGTAAATACTGTTTTTAGGTATTTAATTTTGTTTTGAGATAGGGTCTTGCTATGTAGTCCATGATGGCTTTGAACTTAGGACAATCATTTCACAGACTCCCAGGTGTTGGGACCATAGGCATATGCCACTGTGCCCACCTGGACACTGTGTTTAAAAACAAAGAAACAAACAAACAAACAAAAAAATCCATAGTGACCCCAGAAGATGATCTCTTCAAGCAGAGAAAATTCATCTTTTTCTCTGGTCACTTTAATCAGTCAGTTTCTCTTGATCAGGGCTTGTACCACGTTCATTTCAATCTAACTATTTGTCTCAAGGACTGCAAGTTTTACTTCCTGGTGAAAGTTGCCTTATGGAAAGATACTGTTCTTCAGAACTCTAGCCTGCTGTGTATACACTTCTAGTTTTGACAGTGCTCACTTACTAAAAACCACATGAATATGTCCTAAGCAGGCTGTAAGCCATTCTTCTAAGCCATTCTTTTCATTTGCCTCTATAGTGCTTGTAGCAACTACAACAAGAAATTCATTTTGTAGAAAATATTTTGTAGACTATAGCACAAAAAGAACTATCCTATTTGTCATTTTTTGGTAAACTCTGGAGATGTTCTGTTGAATCTTTCCTACATCTGATTCTGACCATTTCACATAGAAAAGGAATATTCTCTTTTAGGAACAAGTGTCATTCAAGGATGTATGTGTGGACTTCACTAAGGAAGAGTGGTGTCTGTTGGACCCCACTCAGAAGATACTGTACAGGGATGTGATCCTGGAAAATTATAGCAACCTTGTCTCAGTAGGTAAGAATTTTTTTTTCATGTGGCTAATAATCACCCATTTTTAGTTCCTGAATGTGAGTGCCATGAACATTTCTGATTTAAAGCTTGAGATTCAAGGCTCTAAGATGACTGGTCCCTTGTGGCTGTTATAAAGAATATGTTCTTACAACCTGAGGAACTGGTTCATTTACATTCCTTCTTTGTGCGGCTCTTGAAACTACTTTTCTTTACCTTAATTTTTTCCATGTCTGCAAAGGTGAGCTGTTTTACCCCCACTCTTGTTATTTTCTCTTGCAAGGGTTTTGCATTGCTAAGCCAGAAGTGATCTTCAAGATAGAGCAAGGAGAGGAACCCTGGGTATTGGAGAATGGATTCCCAAGCCACTATAACCCAGGTGAGTTATTGGGGCCACAGGCAGTGAAGAAACCCAAGAGAGTTTTTGTGTATGTCATTGGTTTAGGATTTGCTACCTTTGGAATATTTTTCAGAAACTTTGGGTTTTAACTACAGACCTTTGGGAATGACTAAAGACATGTGGTCCACATTGTGTTCCCTTTTTTTCCTCCAGTACTGGGAATTAAACCCAGGGCCTTCACACTAAATTATCCTCCCCATGTCCCCCCACCCCCTTTTTGGGGGCAATAGTGAAAGGTCTTACTGAGTTATTAAATCGCTCAGGCCAACTGTGACTTGGGATCTTCTTGCCTCAGCCTCCCAAGGTTCTGGGATTATAGGAATATGCCACCGTGTTCAGCTATCCTGTTACCTTAGATCTTCTTATGTGTGTCACTGATAAATCCTTTTCTTCTTTGATACGTTAGAATGACTTTTACCCATAATCTAAAGTCAATTGGCCTTATCCTATTTTTTCTTGGTTAGATTTTACCTTTTAAAATTTTCACTTTCTCTGGTGTGCCATGCCAGCCCTGCCCCAGGGCACATTGAGAGCAACTGAGACTGGGAGTGGTGGTGTGCGCCTGTAATCCCAGCACTTGGGAGGCTGAGAACAGGAGGATCACTACCAGTCCAGTCTGTGTAGTGAGACCTTGTACTAAATACGTTTTTTTAAAAAAATCATTTTGTGTTTTCTTAGAGTGCCTTTATTATCTGGTATATACACAGTATATTCATGCAGTTCCATAAATCCATTAAACAAATATAGTATGATGAATACTTATAGTAACCCAGATATTTTTTAGGTAATAACAGAATGATGTCCCTGATACTGAATGTATATTACCATGAGCAACAAACACAGGCATATGTGTATATGTTTATGTATATGTGCACATGTATATGTGCAGACACACTTGGGCAATGGAAAGTACTATGAAGAATTCACATGAGGAAAGAAGGCAAGTGCATGAGAGAATGTCCTTTGGCCGTGGAGTCAGAGAAGACTTTTTTATGAGGTCCACATTAGCCACAAACCTTTGACAAAATGAATGTTAGCTGTGTAGATCAAAAGGAGGCCAGGAAGAGAACACATTACGGGGCAGATGTTTCAGACAGGTTTGTTCATGGCCAATATTAGAGAGTCAGATATTACCGGAAGTAATTGGGCATGGGGGAGGCTAATAGGTGGTGATAGAAGTAGCAGCAACAAGGGCCACAGTAGATAGAGCAATTTTATTTTGAGGATAAAGTGAGAGACGTTTATAAAAAATCAATGCAGATCGGATTCAGTCATCAGATCTGATTTACAATTTAAAAGGATTTTTCTGCAGTGACTGTCTTGTGGTGGGTGAACCTGGACAAGCAAAGAATAGGAATTAGGAGAGAGGCATTCCCTCTGACTGCCAGAGGTTCTGAGAAGATATAGCTTTGTACAGATGCTTGACTATTGGGCCATGAAGAAAGAGTGTAAGGTACAGAAGGAGACAACAGTATTCCAACAATTTGCCTCAAGCAATTGGACAAATTAGGTGCCATTTCTGAGATAGAGAAATTATGGAGGAGACATGGTAGGCATTATGGCAGATTTAATACTGTGCAGAGGTTGGGAGTAACTGCTAAGAGTCTAAACTTGTATTGACTGGGAGGTTAGATATATTTAACTATTGAGCTCATGGCTGAGGCCAGAATAAGACATGTTCCTCTGAAAGATTCCAACATCAAAGGGTGTTACAGATCACAGGCTAGATTTTGTAAAAGGCCAGATGGTAGCCAGGTGAGATGACACACCTGTGAGCCTAGCAGTTCTGCAGGCTGAAGCAGTAAAATCGTAAGTACAAGGACACCTGGACAACTTTGTGAGATGCTTCCTAAAAGCTAGAAAGAGCTGGGATTGTAGCTCAGTGCTCATTACTTGCTTAACAGATGGGAGGCCCTGGGTTTAATCTGCAGTACTGTAAAAAGGAACAGCAACAAGACCAGATACTAAGTGTGTTAGGCCTCTTGGCTGCATGTGTGGTTCTTGCTGCTGTTGATCTTCCTTGTACTTTTTTTTTTTTTTAATCTTCCTTTTACTTATTTTTTGTTTTCCCCCCTCTTCCTCCCTGTTGTCATCTTCCTACTACCTCCTACTGCCTCTTCCACCCTTTCCCTTTAAAAAGGTGAAAGAGTCTTTGTGGCAGGGCCACTGCCATGATGTGTCATCCTTTTCTAGGACCTGGTTGTATGTAGATGAGGGTGGTCCTGGGGCAGTCCTACTTTTCACAGGGATTAAATCTGTACAATAGAAGAGATTAAAAAGGAACAACTTGAGCTATAATCCTATTGCCTAGGAGTCAGATGTCTTCAGTGTTCACTACACAAACTTTTGTCACTTCTTACTAGCCTCATAATACTAATATTTTTTTGTAAAGCTACCCACATCTCTCTCTTTTTTTTTTTTACCCACATCTCTTCACATTCTGTCTTTTCACAGATAAAGCTCAAAAGCAGAGATACATCTATATTTCTTCATTCTTGATTATAATTCCTCATTGGTTCTTTTTTATTTTTACTTAAAGTATTAAAGTTATCCTTCACTAACCTGACAGAATTGCCCATAGACATAAAAAAGAAATTAAAATCTTTCATTGACTGTTATAATGTGGTTCTATTCTACCTTTTACATTTATTTTTTCTGTTCTTTATAATTTATATTTACTACATATTATCCTGTATCTTAAATTGTGTTTCTACATGCATTCACTTACCTAAAGCTTATTTACTTTGCCTTTTTTTTTTAATGAGCAGAATATATTTATTGAGAGAAAGAAAGCTCCTGTCCTGAGAGAGGCACGGGGGGTGGGGGGGAGAGACCCGAGCAGGTAGTTCCCTGGGAAGCTGTTTTTTCCAGGGATTTTTATAGTGTAAAACCGTGCGGGGCTAAAATGGAGAGAATGGGAGCTTGCTTAGGTGGGCAGGAGATGGGACAAAACTATGGTCAACCAATGGGATTACAAGCACCATTGCTTAGGTAAAACTGATTAAATCCAGTATCAAATGGGAAATTGAGTCATGTAGCAAGCATACTTTGCCAATTTTTAAAGAGAAAAAAGATAAACTGAATTTTGAGAACGTTTAATAGAACAGTTACAATCATTGATACATTGTATATTGTCTTCATATTAGTTAATCAGAGTACAAGATATAGGTATGATATCGTGTCTAAGCAATACCAGCACAAAGCATTCTTTTCAAGGAACTAAGAAAAACTAACTGTAAAATTATCTTAACTATCTTGTGTATGTGTGTAGATAATATTTTTTTCTTCTTTTTCTCTTTCTCCCATCACAGTTTGTCTTTTCTTTTATATAGTTTCCCCCCACCCCAGTTTACAATATCTATTACACATTTTGGATCCTGATTTCTTGTTCAATTTCTCGTGCTAGTGATACAATACAATGTTTAAATGTGTGGGTCAGATTTATTTATGGTGTTTAGTTGCATCCATTTACCTACAAAAGTTTCCAGTTTTTCCTTCTTTAGGGCTGAGTAGTACTCCAAATATATTAACCGCATTTTAAAAATCCATTCCTCTGTTGATGGGCATCTAGGTTGTTTTCAGGATTTAACTATTGCAAATTGTGCTGCTGTAAACACAAGTGCACATATGTCACTCTGGTATGATGTTTTCAATTTTTCTGAAAAATACCCAGAAGGGAAATAGCAGGGTTGAATGGGACCTGTAATCTCAGTTTCTTAAGGAATTGCCACACAGATTTCCACAGTGCTTGCATCAGCCTACATTCCCACTAGCAGTGGAGAAGGGTTCTTTTTTCCCCACAGCCCCTACAGCATTTGTTATGGTTGATTTTTTTATTATTGCCACTTTTGCTGGGGTGAGATGAGATCTCAGTATTGTTTTAATTTGTATCTCTTGAATGATGAGGCGTATATTCATGTCAGATGCCCATTTTTATGTTCTTTGAATTTAGAGGTTCTTATTTGTGTGTATGTGTGTGTGTGTGTGTGTGTGTGTGTGTTGTAGATGTAAGTCCTATGTCTACAGGACAGCTGGCTGTAATTTTTTCCTATTCTGTGGGTTGTCTTTTCATGCTGTTGGAGATTTCTTTTGTTGTGCAAAAGCTTTTTAATAATGTGAGATCCCATTTGTTTATTTTTTGTATTACTTTCTTTTCATTCTGGGTTTTGTTCATGAAGTCTGTGCCTTGCCTATGTCTTTGAGATTTCTATTTTATCTTTCAATAAATTTAGTGTTTCTTTTTAAATATTTAGATCTTTGATCCATTTTGACATTAGTTTAGTGCATAATAATAGACATGGGGGAGCCCTCTGGTTGTGTGTCCGAGGTGCTGCCGCTGCAGTCGCGGACAGTTTGCTGAGCCCGTTGGTGCTCCGCATCGAGACTGACGCCGC